ACCGGTTGCATAATACTGATTTATACTTAATTATCGTTTATTTATAAGCAATTGCAACATAACCTAAATTTGTTTTGTACTGACAGGGGACTCCACATTTTGATTGTCCCGAGGCCTACCACAACTGTAAATCTGGCCCTGGTAATGAGCTGTAGATGGGTCTGTCTGGGGCGCCAAATTTAAAAGTTTAGGTACAAAACTGCGTAAGTGATGATTTATCTGAATGCAATTTACTTTAGTTTATGACTGTCGTCGCAGCTGTATTTTGCATTTAATGCAAGAGCCAAAGCCGACTAGCTTGACTGCTGGCCTCACGTTCACATGCCTAAGCAGAGGTGCACAATCATCCAACCAGATATAGGGTGACGTGTGGTCAGCACGACGAACCCCCAGCCATTGCTAGCTTTCCTGACCGGATAACGCTACCAATTGTAGCTCCCCAATTTCCTCACGATACTGGGTTGGCACCGGTCCCATACACGGGTCGAAAATCTCATGAGAAAATTTCTTCTCCCCCGAGACTCGAACCACCGTATCGCCGGTCCCAAGCATGATACCTCAGACCGCGCGGTAGATCTGTACGCAATACCATTATGGACAGTGCATGATATTTAAACCACAGGTTTATTTTAACCAATAATAAATGAAATATTCTAATCCGAGATGGTCATGCGTGTTGATATTCCGTTAGAGGCCTTTTTCTATATTTTCAAGTCGTTTTGAGACTACTTCTCTTTGTTAAAGAAGAGTAGAATTTTGGAATCACCATTTTGTGTGCGTATCCCCTTTCGTCTCTTGAAACAATTGACAGATTTTCACAAAATTTATTACGAATTTTATTCCGTTGGAGGCCACCCCAAACTCGTGTTTCTTAGTTTCATACAATCCACAATAACAACATGATGGAAGCACCAGAATGTGAAATGGGAAAAGTACTTCTGGTTGTAAACGAATATTTCTTCACTCAAAACTTTTTACAGTTTAGTAGGCCAGCTTCTAACAAAACCACACTACTTTTATGTAATTCTCCTTACAAGTTTTGAGATCGGATTACATTATCATCAATCCTTAACACAATTGTAAAAATTTCAGAAGAAAATTGCCCCCTTGTCCGATTTTGTTACACGTCAACGAAAAGGGTGTGAAAATCTGGACAGCAAATATAATTGCGTCTCTAACATCCATACGTATCAAACACCCATTAACATGTTTAGTTGAAGGCGAGATTTCAGGTACTCTTGGTGATGACTACTTTCTGGGATGTTGCGCCCTGTAGTTTTGTAGAGATTGACAGATGTTTCACAGGTTCTTACTGCCTCAGTCATCAGAGGTAATAAGCGTCTCTGGCACGATGGGCAGTTTGTATCAGACTACACGGCGAAACGTTCCAGAAGACAACAATCTTTATATTTAAACCAGTTGTATAATTACTTACGTACGTAGTTTATCCGTCAGTAAATAATAAGTTTGGTAAACTGTAATTATGGTATATTGCAACTGCCATTAACTGAGATCGATTACTGAAACTTTGAAGTTAGGCACAAAATCAGTCTCTGAGGCCATTATCGTTTGTATTCGATTATAATATAAAGCATGGGCAGGCAAACTGTTCAGTAGGAGATGAAAATTAAACGTCAGT